GTTTTCAGCTAAGTCTACAAGGTCGCATATTACCTCAGTGATGGTCGTGATTGTTGACATCATTTCTGGGCTAGACCGTAATATGGCACTACTAGAGCTGTCCTTTTGGCCTAGAGTACTCATTACTGGTCGCTGTAGTGCTGCACTAGGAATATGAGTTGGCGGCCTGTTCCTGGAACATGAAACCTGCTGGCTTCTGTTTTGGGGCGGGAGTTTGAGCAGCAGTGTAGGGGACTGGGTATATAAGGGACTTAAATTGTCAAGGATATTTCTAAGACTTCAACGGTCATCGAGGCAGGTTCAGGTAGCGTGTGTTTTCGTGATGGTGTAACCTTCTCTGGCCGAGGCCGCTGGTGAGTGGTAATTTCAATAGTCAAACTGGAGGCTGGACAACCAGAATTTGCCATGGTGCATTGACATGGTGAAAATTCTCAGAGCAACGAGAGTTCCAGGAATGATGCCACTCACCGCAGTTAAGACACATAAGTTCCAATGTCTTAGGCCACTTAAGTACTGTGAAGGCTTGCTCAGCCCTGTAACAACTTCACACAGTATTACCAAGGCTGGCTCCTCCTCAGGAAAATTAATGAATAGAAAAAGAAATAATAATTCACTAAGATAAACACTTCATTATTTATTAATGCAAAGTTGAAATATGAAGGTGTATCCTACTTGAAAGAAAAATGAAAAATGAAATGGAAAAATGACATTTGAATTCAACGCTAATATGTACAGTTATACTGGGGAGTCTGGTGGAGGTTGACACTGTCTTGTAGAAATTGTAGCCGTTGCTGATGATGTTGGGGGGGGGGGTCACAGGTGTTGGTGACAACCCAACGACTAGTTCTTCACAGAGTCTATTGCCCTGAATAGTCAGTCCAGATGACAGGAACGCAGGTTCTTTACTACTGCAAAGATGAGGGGTAGTGTCCTGTACAATTAATCAGGTAGGTAGATTATGAATGACGTCTCATGGGCTGTTTCAGTCCATCTCCTTCAACACTTCTCGTTGGTTGGCAGGTGACCCGATCTGTCACTCCAAGCTGGAAAGAGAGACAGGTTACCCACTCTCCATGATAAGTGCAAGATACTTAAAAAAGGTGGTGATTATCGAAAAGTTTTATATGGAGCTTAAAACTGAAAGGACTAAGTTTATTATTGGTCAAAAGTGAAGATTTCAACCAATATCCACTAGAATAGGAGCAGAGGCTTTTACTTACAGTTGTGATGGGAGCTGTGAGTCGAGTGATTACTGTTTGGCCGGAGCCCCACACGTCACCTTTCGGGGTGGAGAGAAAGTGGGGGGGAGGGGATAGCGGGAGCTAGACTGACCCTACCTTAACAAGCAGCCGGCAATCAAACTATCGATACCATATACTCGCTCACTACTCCTATCTGTTGAACTTTTCCCTCACAAGTACATTAGATAATTTCTTGGCGAGACCGCTATAAACAGCACTTTCCCGGACTTGGCAGCTACTTCTGAGGTGGATATACCTTTGGCACTATCAACACCTCAGAGGTTCCAAGATGTTCACCTTACCTTAGTACTTTTCCCTGGATCCAAGAACCAGTTGAGCTGGGATAGATCCTATGTGTTGGATCAAGATCTACCTCATCAATGAGTTATTCTCCTTCTTGATGGAAGCCGCTAGACTTTCAGGATATTTTGCTTACTGCTGAATGTTTCTAATGACATATCTAGCAAGTAGCGCATCAATAAGCCTATTACCACTTGCTCGACAGAGTTCAGCTCTGTGAGGACGACTTGAGGTCGTTCACCTTATGCAGTACCACAAAGGATCCTTGTTATAAGGAGTAAGGATGAATTTTCTTTTCACGTATTTGGTGATTGAAATCGAAAAGATGCCTTTCGTTTCATGATCCCTTTCGTGTATTAATCTGAATTTGTTAGTATTGGGTGCATTGGCAAGCAGGATCTAAGGCGAAGAAGCATTGTAACCTCTTGAGCCTCGTAGACTGTACTCTTCCTGCCAGCCTTCCCAATCCTGCATTTCGGTGATAGTTATGGACAGATCTTGATCCATTCCCATCCCTATCTCGTTGTGTCACTGGAGTCGCTTGTCTTCCTATCTGATAAGTCCCAGAAGTGTTCTCACTGATTCTTCTCATCACTGCTCATGTGTATAACGTGTTTCGAGAGTTCGAGAGGATACTGAGATAACTTGTAGTAGCTTTTCGGCGTCAGTGACCCTGCAGCCCAGTGCCAGACCAAGCTGATCAAATTGTTCGTGCCTGCTGCTTGCAACCCTACATATGCACCACATCCTAGCTGACCAGGGACTAACCTGTAGAATTTATCAAGTTCATTTTTGAACACAGCCAAAAAATGTATCGGTAATCTCCGTATGAATGGAAGGAGAGTGTTGAAAAATCTAGGTTCCTTTACAAATATTGAGTTCTCTCTCTGAGCGTATCCACTGACAAACTCCTATTCTTATGCACCATATGCCAGGCCTCTCACTTTCATGCGGAGGTATTTCTTCAGTGTGCAAATCTGGGAGAAATCTGTCAAAACTTTTCCTGGAATACTATGATACACAGCTTTGTCAACATTCCGAGTACAGTTCAAGGGTCGTCAAACATTCCCAGTAGTTCAAAAGCGTCACTAGAGGCCACGAGAGGTGTTGTAAGACTGGAGGTCATGAAAGGTGCTGTAAGGCTGAAGGTCACAAGAGGTGCTTTATGATTGAGGGTCATGAAAGGTGTTGTAAGGCTGGAGGCCATGAGAGATACTGCAGGGCTGGAAATCATGAGAGGTGTTGAAGGGATGGAGGCCACGTGAGGTGTTGAAAGGATGGAGGCCACGAGAGGTGTTGTAGGGCTGGAGGCCATTTGAGGCTATGTAGCTGGGCAGAAGGCCATCATAGGTTTTGACGGGCTGGTGGCCATAAGAGGTGTAGTAAAGCTGGAGGTCATGAAAGGAGTTGTAGGGCTGGATGCCAGGATAGCTATTGTATGCCTGTTGGCCATGAGAGGAGTTAAAGTGCTGCAGAACATAAGAGGTGCTCTATGGCTAGAGGTCATGAGAAATTTTGTAGGGCTGGAGACCAGCCCTAAAACATCTCAAATGAGATGTTTAAGGGCTGGAGTCCATGATAGATGTTGTTGGGCCTTAAGTCATCAAAGATGCTGTATGGCTGTAGAGCATGAGAGGTGCTATAAGGCTAGAGAATATGAGAGATGTGTTAGGGCTAGAGGAGATGAAAGGTCCTGTAAGGCTGGAGCCCATGAGAGATGTAGGGCTATAGGCCATAAGAGATGTTGGAAGACTGAAGACCCTGAGAGGAGCTGTAGGGATGGAGGTTATGAGAGGTGTCTTAAGAGGTACTTTTAGGCTTAAGGCCATGAAAGGTGTTGTGGGGCTGGAGGTTATGAAAGGTGTTACAGGTCTGAAAGCTATGATATGCTTTAAGGCTGAAGGCCACAGAGATGTTGTAGGGCTGAAGGCAACGAAAGTTGTTGTAGGTCCTGTACAGGTGGAGATCATAAGAGGTCCTGTAAAGGTGGAGATCATGACGGGTGTTGTAGGGCTGGAAGTCAGTAAGATGATGCAAGGCTGGAGGTCATGAGAGGTCCTGTAAGGCTGGAGACCATGAGAGATGTTGCCAGGCTGGATGTCATAAAGGATGCTGTAAAACTGGAGGTCATGAGAAGTGAAGTAAATCTGGAGGTCATGAGAAGTGAAGTAAATCTGGAGGTCATGAGAGATGTTATACAGCTGGGAATCTTGAGAGGTGCTGCAGGGTTGGAGGCCATTAGATCTGTTTTTAGGCTGGAGGCTATGAGAAGTGTTGTAATGATGGAGGCCATAAGAGGTGCTTTTGGGGGAGGAGGCCATGAGAGGTGTTGCAGGGCTGGAGGTCGTGCGTTGTAGGGTTATGTGATATAGGGTTGGATATCATGACATGTGTTTTTAGGCTGGAGGCCATGAGAGAGGGTTGAATGGCTGGAGGACAAGAGCGGTTTTGTACAGACGGAGATCGTCAGAGGTGCTGTAAGGCTGGAGGTCATATGCGAGAGGTGTTGATGGTCTGAAAGTCATGAGAGATATTGTAGGGCTGGAAACCATTAGAGATGTTGCAGTGCTGAAGGTCATGAAAGGTGCTGTGAAACAGGAGGTCATGAGACTTTTTGTAGGGCAGGAGGTCATGAGTGTTGGTGTAGAGGCTGGAAGTCGTGAGAGGTGCTGTAAGGCACCTTTCGTGAGAAACGTTGTAGGGCTGGAGGTTATGAGAGGTGCTGTAGGGCACCTTTCGTGAGGAACGTTGTAGGGCTGGAGGTTATGAGAGGTGCTGTAAGGCACCTTTCGTGAGAAACGTTGTAGGGCTGGAGGTTATGAGAGGTGCTGTAAGGCACCTTTCGTGAGGAACGTTGTAGGGCTGGAGGTTATGAGAGGTGCTGTAAGGCACCTTTCGTGAGGAACGTTGTAGGGCTGGAGGTTATGAGAGGTGTTGTAGAGCTTCTGAATACATGATGTTGTAAGGCTTCAGAAGATAATAAGTGTTGCAAATCTCGAGGTCATGGTAGGTGTTGTAGGGCTGGAGGCCGCAGGGGCGTTGACCCCGGGAACACCCTACAGGGACACCCTACAGGGACACCCTACAGGGACACCCTACAGGGACACCCTACAGGGACACCCTACAGGGACGAATCCACAATCCTATCTGAGTTATGCCATCAACATTTCTTTCACATTCATGTGAATTTGTTGCCCTTTATATAGTCTAGATAGACTATCCAAAAGAGTCCATGTTTCATAATTATTACTACTTAATAGCATTCTCAGTACTTTCCGAACACCTGTCCAACGTCTTTATTTCTTTGGCAAATCCACACGCACATATTTCTGTCAATTTGACATCAAGAAGCAATCTTCACGCTTGTACATGAGACGTGATAGATACACAAGCATAACAAACATGTAACTCTTTTGTAAGGTGGTGTTATTTTCGCTAGCCCGACCTTAAAAAAAACAATTTTGACTGACCCAGTGATCTTTATTGGTAGATTAGAATTAGTATGTAGGAGCTGTAGACATTTGGTTAATCGTCACACCAGACATGATGTACTTACTGTCATAAGGGTGAGTTGACTGTTGGTGGAACAGAAGGAAAAATAAGCAGAAAGGCAGTGAAGTATGAGGAAAGGAAAGTACTCATTTCTTACCTATTATGTTATTTCTGTTATCTACTGCTTCACTACTTACATCGATTCACGGCATAGTAGGTACCGGAGAGAACCAAAAAAAACTGATAGAGGGTGGGGATCACTGCTACTCTTTGGTTCTGTGTCCATGTATGGCCATGTCACAAAAGGTTGTCGATATGACATATGCTTTGGAAGGATCTACATCGTTACCCGTAAGAAATAAAGGCCTCCTGTCGTCTGCTCCAGACAAAGCATGAAGGGAAGTAGTCTTAAAATGTTGTTAATGTTCTCATTTTATTGAAATATTGAGGGCTTTAAATATTAGACAGAGAGCTTGTTGTATCTCTCTCATAATGAACGAATAGATGTGTTTCATTTCAGATGGTACAAAATTTATGAAGTAAGACGTCTAGAAATGGAAGTGAGATGTCTCAATTTTTGACAGTGAACTGAATGGAGACTTCAAGAGAGTTGAGATAGTTCTCGAGCGTTTCAACTTGGATTCTTCTGGCGTAACCAAGAGGATGTCGTGGCGAAGCCAGGGAACAGTTGATAGGTTGATGTCAAAAGAAATATTCTGCCTCCAGGGACTCTATTAAAGGTTTACAAAAAAGCCACTTATGGGGGACCCACTACCATGCCAAAGTGACGTTGTACTGCATGGCGACTTTTTTTGTTATTATTAGTAAGCTGACTCTTTGGGTTGATTATTTTTATGTCCCTTCAACTTTAATTCCATAATCTCTTTGGCCTTCTCTACCTTAGTTTTTACTACACTGATGAGCTTAATTCATTGTTAATTTGTTTTAGCTGTGAGTGGAGAAACCACAAGATTGACTCCTCCATCAGGTCTCAGTAAGAAGGGAGATGGTTCCAGTTTCAGCTCCTCGTGGCAGCTCCTCAGGTGTATTTCTGCTTTCAGTAGCAACTTAGTGAGTGCCACCTTGGCTTCCAACAAGGCAAACCGCATAGCTAAAGGAAAAATCCAAAGTCAAGGTAAAAATATAAATTGATGTATTGTAAGGATTTTGCATTATAACCACTATTAGATTGTATTACTAAAAATAAAAATACACTTTTCCAAATAAAATTAGGCTACTACACTTACCTATACAGTTTCTAGGACCCATTCCGAATGGCATGTGAGTGAAGCTTCTAATATTGGTCTTGTTCTCTGGTAAGAAGCGGTCTGGAAGAAACACCTCAGGTTCAGGCCAGTAGCGAGGATCGTGGTGTAAACTCCAGATTGGGATGGTCACCAAGTCTCCAGGACGTAGAACCACGTTAGTGCCAGTTATTCTGTTAACATAAGTTTCTAATATAAAAATATCACATGGTTTTCTAATTAATTATTTACATATTACGGTTAATTATTTCTAATTAATTATTTACATATTACGTTTAAAAAGACACGTGAGCAAACACTAGGACATATGAGAAACCGCTTCGGTCATGAGATTTTGATCAATTTTAACTTACAAAGGTTAAAAAGACTTTATATATAGGCGGAGAATGAAGTGTGAGTGACATATAGTGACCTGAAGAATGTTACAATGGAATGATGACAGGTAGACACTGAGATCATGTGACTCCGGTGTTGTTAGGTGGGTGGTGCTCTGCCTGGATGAGTCTCGTGTATGCTAACGTTATTAAAATTTTGAAGTTTCAGGTATTATGTTCTACTGTGTCGGTGACGGCGATAGTGAGGCTTCCAGAAATCGACGGCGTCATAGATCTTGTTTGGTGAAGACGAGTTGTGCCTCATCCCAATTCATTAAATGTCCCGTGAAGTCCCTATAGAGGACACAGGCGTACCTAAAGTCGTCTCTGTTGCTGGAGTTTCAATGTTTGTTCAGGTGGACCGCAACATCTCTTGCCAATGTTTCGCCTACATCTTCAGGGTAAAATTAAGCCCCTACTCTTTCTGGAGAATTTTTGTTTGGCTAACATATCAAACTTCAATCAAAATAATTATTATTATAATTTTATTTTAAGATTTTTCTAAATATCTTTTAAAAAGTATTTGATTTTTCATGGGCCTGTTCTGGTTATGAGCCTGAAGCTGCTTAAGCTTCCCCCAGAAGCTCAAGCTTTCTCCCTAAGATAAAGCTTTTCATTATATATCTTCGGCGTTCCAGGTATTCTCATCACATAATCTGTGTTGGAAGACGTGATATCCAACATATATACTCAAAAGACTCGTGAGGTTGGTTCTCATACAGTTAATTCCCTGTTTACTGTGATCTTTCTCTGGTGCTTTCATTATTTTCTTCTTAAATTGTAGGAATGGATTCCAGTCATGTGGAAGATGGGAGAAGAAGGTGGGATAAAATGTCTGAATAAGAAGTCTCATTGCCACTCTCTTAAGGAAAGCGTAATTTGAATAACAGTAATAACAGGAATAGCTGGAATATGTACTTGCTCTAGAATAATTAATATATAGTAATAATTGTAAAAATAATAAAATATTAGGTAAATGGACACAGATGCATTAATGTTACATTTTACTGCGGCAATGTTTCGGTCTCCAGGAGCTTTGTCAAGCAGTTAACGCTTTACAAAATCCTGGAAAGCGAAACGTTGCCACAATGAAATGTCATGTTAGTTACATCTGTGTTCATTTGCGTCACCACCGTGGAAATCTCGTTAAGCAGAATCTACTCTGCTAGAAGCTAATCTACTAGGAAAAACTATTGAAGCTCCTCTTTTGAAGACGATCCACAAGATCCTCGATAAGTATCAACAAAGCAGAGAGAGAACGAGAGGGAGAGAGAATGAGAGGGAGAGAGAACGAGAGGGAGAGAGAACGAGAGGGAGAGAGAACGAGAGGGAGAGAGAACGAGAGGGAGAGAGAACGAGAGGGAGAGAGAACGAGAGGGAGAGAGAACGAGAGGGAGAGAGAGAATTTAACATGGGAAATAAACAAATAACCTAATAAAATGATATATTTATTTCTTTGGAGTATAGGTAAGAAACTGAAAAAAAAATTAAAAGAAATATACTTAACACATAACTGCGTTGTATCTCGAACTTGTTATCTTCCAGCAGTCTTCTCTGTACCGGAGAGCGCAACGTTTCTCAATGTAAATTCCAAAATGTTGCAAAAGTGTCTAATTCTTTAATATGTCTGTTTTATATAGCTAGTATTAGTGTTTGGCCTCACAGATAGTCTCCAGTGTAGGTTATGTTGTGTGCTTTCATACCAGGAAACTATACTGCTAACTGTCTTGTTCTGGACAGGTAGAGTTGTGTGAGATTAGCCAGCCTGAATACTGATGTTGCTTCTTACCTCTTCCAGTGGAAGACTGGCATCTACTCTTCATCAACAACCACCACCATAATTTTTAAACTATTTGCATTAGCATTTACTACCAGAAACCTATCACCATACATACTAGCACCATCGGTACCACTCCCACTAAAAACACCAAAATAGCAATAATAACCATAAAAATCCATCAATAAAGTACCCAATAACAGCTTTCCACTCTATGTTGTATACATTTATGCAGTTATGCGATCATCAGTACCTCACTGCCTAACAATCGTTGAAGCTGATTCTATAATATAATTTTTCTGATTACATATTCCCTATGCCCTTTTGCACAATTACGAGCTAAATAATATCCATAATCAACATGGAATCTTTCCCAGTAGAGTAGCTATATGAATTTATAATAAACAGATATTGTCATTTATCAAAATGGCCGCCATAGCTTACCCAGACGAGTCAGGTGATGTCTCAGTGTCCAGATCTGTTCAGTGTTCGTATTTTGTCATGAAGTTCTCGGTTATTATATTTTCTGTTATTTGTCTTTAATACTCTGAACAGCAACTTATTCAGAACAAGTGTTTAACTCTTAAGAATCACAGAAAAATAATATTCCTTGCATAAGGGGAGTGTTTTCTAATCCTTTTACTCTATTATTATGGCATAGGACGTGCACCAGCAACTTTTTACGACGATAAAACTGTAATAAAGTTGGTAGAATTACCGACAATATGTAAAGTAAAAGGACACAAGTGCAACTAATGTGACATTTATTGTGGCAACGTTTCGCTCTCCAGGAGCTTTATCAAGCCATTGATAAAGCTCCTGGAGAGCGAAACGTTGCCACAATAAATGTCACATTAGTTGCACTTGTGACGATAAAACTGTCGCAGCTTTAATTAAGAATCAAATATTTTTCTGATTCACTGACATATGTAGATATTCACCTGACATTTTGAAATATGCTAATTAGAACAATTACAATTATTTAGAAAATGTTAACAAACTAGAAACATTTAGTGAAATAAAAACTACAGCATAAAGCAACCATTTGTCTGCTACGTAAAATTCCATAAACGACTTTTTTTTTTTTTTTTTTTTTTTTTTTTGCAAATGTGACACCTACTTGTAGGTTTTGTTGCATACTCGTTCACCGAAGGTTCCAGGTGGGTACAGTCTCAGTGTTTCTGAAATATAATGAAATAACAACTAATATATTTTTAAAAACTCACGATCATTATAATTAAGGACTGATCAAAAGTTCTATTATGTATTATCTTAAATTTTCACTTCATATCGTGCAATTTATGATGCCTCTGATGGAACTAAAACTCTTAAAGTATTTCGGAGTCTTTTTAAGATGGTTAAAAGCTGGAGTTAATGATATATTTCTGCAGTTGGATTGTTTTCTTTGGAATAGTTGTCTCTCTCCTGTTAATTCAGAATAAATAAACTTGTGTTTTTTGAACACTGATCACTTTCATAAGCTTAATGAAATTTGGAACTTACATGTGCTAATTTAAAATTCTAATAACGAAATTTTAATATTATCTTCCACATGATGACCTACGAAAGTCGCTTCAGATTACCTTTAAATCTTCAACACGAATATTTAATTGCAATATCATCATATGCTGCACTCTGCACTTAGAAAACTTACCTAACCTTATTATTATGAGCGTAATTTAATTTAGCCTAATCCAACTAAATATATTTGTGATAAGTTTACAATAATTTAATAATGAACAGTCACAATGAAATATATATTTTTTTTAGTTAGGTTCAGAATGATTTTTGAGAAATTATTGCATACACAAATTTTCGCTTGCCTTTTTCGGAAAATTTGTGTATGTAATAATTTCACAAAAATCATTCTGAACATTCGACACCATGCCCAGCCCTTCTAGGGTAGGGTAGGTGCCTGAGCCCGAACTTCCAGCTCACAAGACTGACATTCCCATTAGCCCCCTTGGGGCGGGGATGGCAGATCAGAGAGGCCTAGCTTCTCCCTACGAGAAGCTAGGCCTGGGTACAGTTGGTCCCAATGATGAGGGGGTACTTGTACCACCTCCCATGGGAGACTTAGGTCTCAGACACTCCCTAAACAGGGAGCCAAGGCCGGGCCACCACTTGGAAAAGGCCCGGGCTGGGAGAATACCGGCGAATCTTTAATAATAATTATGGTTTAGAAAGACACGTAAGCAAACACTATAACATATTTATTAGAAAACGTTTCGGTCCTGGAACCTTGATCACTTCTAACATGTTAGAAGTGATCAAGGTTCCAGGACCGAAACGTTTTCTAATAAATATGTTATAGTGTTTGCTTACGTGTCTTTCTAAACCAACTTGTCGGTATTTATTACCAAGGTTTATACCAATAATAATTATAAATTCTGAACCTAAGCAGAAGCCTGAGCTTCCTACCACCTGCAGCTCACAAGACTGCCATCCCCACGAGCCCCTTTGGTGCGGGGCAGATGACAGACCAGAGGCCTAGCTTCTCCCTGCAAGCCCCGTGAGGGCGGGGACTGTGGCTAGGCTGGGGGACACTTGGTCCCAAAGATGAGGGGAGTACTTGTACCTCCTCCCATGGGAGACTTAGGTCTCAAGATACTCCCCAGATAGGGAGCCAAGGCCGGGTCACTACTCTTGGAAAAGACCCGTGCCGGGAGAGTACCGGCGAGTAAAAAAAAAAAATTCTCAACCTAACAAAAAAAATATATTTCATTGTGTTTGTCTCTGAAGTCGTGGTATCGGCATCTTCCTTGTCCACTGCGGAGACGAAACCCTCGATGGACACCGGTGCGTTCCCTTAATCTCTTTCGTATTCTTCACAACCCTCACAGCAATCTTTTCCTTCACAGCATTCCGATTCCTCCCTGCTTATTCGCTTTCCGTTGCCTCCACACATTGACTTCACTGACCCTACCATCCCGTAGATTTTATCGCTTCTCATTGTTGGAATACCTATCTTAGTGAATAATGACTTATTTACAATGGAATATTCGTGGCCTCAGGGGTAATCGGGAGAGCTCCATTTGTTGCTCACCCAGTGTTTTAAACACAGGTGCTTCCACCCAGTTTGACTCTCGGACTCTGTCTCTTTCCTGCACTGATCTTCCTATCTTCTCCTCGTCAGTTGTACTTGATTATGCTTGGTCTTTTCTCCAGAGTTTGCACGACAGTGATCACTTTCCTATTCTTCTTAGTTCTAATATGTATTCCCGACCTCCTCATAGCAACCGCTGGCAATTTGTATGAGCGACTTGGGACTTATACTCTCATCTTCCCGCTTTTTGTGCGGACCCTTCTTTGTCCTCTATTGATGAGCTGGTGCATCAGTTTTCGACCTTAGCTTTGACTGCAGCATCACGTTCTGTTCCTCAAACCTCAGGCAGGCATTCTCAGATATATGTGCCTTGGTGGTTTCCTGTGAGTGCCCGTGCATTGCGCTTGAAACGTGCTGCATGGGGCCGTTATCGATATAATCGGACCGCAGGTCGTTTTCTGGATTTTAAATGGGCGAGGGTAGTGGCTCACTGCCTCATAGCCACTGCCTCATACACGACACTAAACACACTTGCTGGAAAGACTATGTTTCTACCGTTACCTCAACTTCCCCTGTGTGTGTGCGGATTGGAAGAAGGTACGGAAGTTGTGCGGCAAGTAAGCTCCGGACCCACCTCCTGTTTTGCGGATTGCTGGTGTTAGTGTTCCAGAACCTTTTGAAGTTGCCATGGAAATCGGGAACTATCTTGCCCATGTCTCCCAAGGGCTTCACCTCTGTCCCTCGTTTCTCGCTTCTAAGTCTACCAGAGAGCAATCGCCCTTGGAAATTACTTCTAATGGGATGGAGTTGAATAATGTACCTTTTACTCTCTTAGAGCTAGAGCCCACACTTTCCGCTTGGCGATCATTGGTACCTGAGCCTGATGATATTCATATCTGTCAGCCACAGCATCTGCATTCTGCAGCCCTTCCAGTCCTTCTGCGTCTTTTCAATCTTGTTTGGATGCGAGGGGTTCTCCCTCAACAATGGAAATCTGCCATTGTACTACCGTTTCGCAAACCAAGCACTTCGGGGCTTGATACCTCTCGCTATCGTCCCACTGTTCTGACCAGTGTAGTCTGCAAGGTGATGGAACGATTGGTGAATAGACGTCTGATATGGTATTTGAAGACTCACGATAGTCTTTCTCCTCGCCAAGATGGCTTTTGCAAGGGCCGCTCTACTTTGGACCCCTTGATGCACTTAGATATGTACGTGCGAAATGCAATTGCTAATTAACACTCTGTCCTGGCAGTCTTTTTTAGATCTCAAGAAGGAATATGACACCACTTTGAGGTATAACATCTTAGCCCAGGCCCACTGCTTAGGCCTCTGCGGTAATCTACCGACCTTCCTGCTGCTTTCTTATCTGAAACACATTTTCATGTCTGTGCTGGCGCCTCGCTTTCCTCAGACTTTGTTCAGGCAGAGGGAGTTCCATAATGTTGTGTCCTTAGCACTACCCTTTTTCTCTTGGCTATAAGTAACCTACCATTCGTTCTTTCATCGCATATTTGGTCATCCCTTTATGTGGATGATTTTGCTATAGCTTACGCAGTCGCTGACTGTCGCCTGATAGCAGCCTCCCATCAGAAAGATGTGTTTGGCCGTGTTTCCCATTTGGCCACTTCTCATGGACTTAAATCTTCTAGTGTGAAAACCCATTTTGCTACCTTCACTAGACGTCCTCTTATCCCCGATATTACATTGTTTTTGCACTGCTCATGTATCCCGGAATGTGATATGGTCAAGTTTTTGGCCTTCTATTCGACTGCTGGTTGACTAGGAAACCTCACATTTCCTCTTCGAAGGGAGCTTGCCATGGCTGGCTGAACCTCCTTAAAATTCTTGCGCATCGTTCATGGGAGGCAGATCGCCGGACTCTCTTTCCTTTGCATTTCCCCCTAGTCTTGTTGAACCTGGATTATGTTGACTAGTCTATTATACGGCTTCTCCTGCAACTCTTTCTAAGCTAGATGCCCTTCATCATCAAGGTCTACGTTTATGCCTTTGGTGCCTTTCGTTCATCCCTTGTTGAAAGTCTCAGACGTTAGTAGAGGCTCTACTACATACGGCTGCCTCTCGCTCTCTTTTTCTTGATTACTTCTGATCTCATGCTCGTGTTGTCGTTGTTTATATAGATGGTTCTAAATCTTCTGAAAGAGTTCTGTCTATGGAGGTGTTTCCTGACGATGTTGTCATTTGTTAGACTCGGCTAGTATTTTTACCGTGGAGTTGTAAGCCATCCTCCCAGTCATTCTCCTCATTACATGTATGTCTCCTTCGGCGTTTGTGATCATTTCAGATTCCCTCAGTACTTTACAAGACAATTTGATTCCCCCTCATCGTATTCAACTTTGGTTGCGCTGTGTAGCAAGCAAAAACAAAGATGTCGTTTTCTGTTGGGTCCCTGGAAAGGTTGATGTGCGGGACAATGAACAATGAACCTGCTGCGCAGTCAGTGGTGCGTGATCTTCCGGCTTCCTATGGAGGTATTCCTTTCAGGAAATATTTTACCGCCATCTCTACCCGTCTTCGTGGACGATGGCAACAACGGTGGTCGGACATGCACCATAACAAATTACATTCTATTAAACTGTGTTTGGGTTTGTGGCCCTTTTTTTTTTACCACCGTTGCTGTACTCGGTAGACTGTTCTCTCCCGTCTCTGCATCGGCCATACTCACCTTACTCATAGGTATCTCATGAAGCGTCACCCTGTTCCTCTCTGTGAGGTTTTTCTGGTCCCTATTTCAGTTCGTCACTTTCTTGTGGATTGTCTGGTTTACCAGCGAGCTCACAGGAATTACCTCCACTGACGCTGCCACCCTGCTCTTCTTACCTTATCTTCCCTTCTTGCAGACGGCCCTGCTCTTGGCTTACTATCATCTTTTGACTATTTGTCAGCAACTGTTTTACTATACGAACTTTGTCACATAGACCTTAGTGTCAATTCCAGTTCTTTTCTCCCCTCACCTCTGATCCCCTTCCCAACTAGCTGTTTATAGACCCGGCACTATTTTCTTCCCCACAGCACTGCATGACCCTTGTCGGCTTAGCGCTTTCTTTGATTTATATCTGGTCATCTGACTGAGCCCTTCTACCCCTTTATAAATTATGGTTATGACAAGAAGTGAGTGAGTGCGTCTTCAAAAAGCATAAGGCCCACATTAAATCCATTGTTATTTTTGGTTAATCAGTAACGATTCATTGTA